AGTTTCCTCAATTTGAGTCTCGTTCTTAATCAACTAATGGTGAAAATTAGGTTCAAATTGCACAAAATATTAAGTTGGTCCATAGTTTTTAAACGCTTTGTGGCTTGTAGCATAAACACAACATTTTAAGTTGATTATTCCTGAAAAATTGAGTTGATCCAACTAGTTTTTCCAGGTTATACAAAACAATTTTGTAACTGCTCTGTACACAATCACTAAGACTATAAACAAGTTTTTGAATTGGCAAATAAAAAAAAACAATTACGTTTCTCAAATATTCTCTTGTTACGACAACTTAAATGAAGTTTTAAATCAACAGAAAACTGAGTTTAAATTACACAGAATGAAGTTGAGAAAACATCATAACTCAATAAAATGATGTTTGCAGCTTAAACTGTCTAAATCAGTAAATATGTTTTAATTTAAATCCACTGGTGGAGTTGGGGACATTTTATTACTTTGTAGAGTGAGTGCGTTAGTCTCTGGATCTGTTGTTGCTTCGTCAGCTGCTCATAAACCCAGTGCATCGCCTGAATCAGTCCCTCTGCAGTGACTGAGATGCTCTCTGGATATCTGAGGTCGACCAGGAAGCAGCTCAGGGTTTTCCCAGAGCTCAGGTGAAACGTGACGGCGGCTCTTTCCTCAGAATATTTGGATCTTCCTCTTGCTTCGTTCCTGCAGTGGAGCCGTTGGGAAACTCTGGCATCGTGAGTTTATTTCCTTCTTGGCAGCAGAACGGCAGTGTTGAGAAACTCCTGCAGGTTAAACTGGACGAACAAAAACTTTTATAGACTTCAAACCGTGGCAGGTGGAGCAGCATGAACCGTGAGGCAGCGCTCTGTGGAGGTGCTGGACTCATCCAGGTGACCGTCTACCTGTTAGTGGACCAGCTTGGATGCAGAAGTTCTTGATGTTCATGAGCTGTAGAGCTGCTCCGCTGTCCAGCAGGTTTGTTAACGTTAGTGTCAGTGTGTGTTGTGTTGGACAGCAGTGTTGGATGACGACTCAGTGTTGGCTCATACTCAATATTAGATCCACGGCAACAAAGGTTTGCTTTACCAACCGGACAACAGTTGTAATAAATATAACAGACGGTTCTAGTGGTGGTGCTGGATCACAGACTCTAAATAACATATATGCGAGCAAAGCTGGAAAAAAAACTTCTCGTTTTCAGATGTTTTATTTTCTGTTTATACTGTGGCACTACTGCTGTAGT